TTCCACGTAGCGAGAGTATATCCAACCACAAATTGTCGGTGAGATCGTGGGAAAACTTTGATAAACGTAAGGAGAAATTGGCGCGTAGAACGGCCCTCTGTCAATGCTTAGCAAATACTGATTGGAAAAAACTCGTAGTTCTCTTTGCGCTACGCTCTTCTTTCACTTACCGCTTGTGCTCTTCTCTGCGGGGTTTCCTCGCGCCTCACCTTGAAATAAAGAAAACACGCAAAAGTGTATACTCAACATATATAAATTCTCAGCTTGGCGCGGCGCGTGGACATTGACGAAAATTTAACGAAAAAATACCGACGGAACCGTGATACTCGCGTTACAAATATTCTAAGCATATTTGAAGTTAAGTTAAAGGAATCTTCGTTGGACCTGGCATATAGAAGCTAATGGAATAATAAAGAATACTTGAATACTATGAAATCTGATGAAAAAAAAGCTTGATTGAGTTTCCCAAGCGTTTAAAAAAACTTCTTGGGGACTAGTCGTGATAAACTATAGTACCTACTATGTTAGAAAATTTAAAAAAATTAAAATTTCTAATGAGCTTAAGGATGCATTGCTTATTTTCTCATTGGACTACTTTCCCAAAAATATCAGAGCATTTAGCAAGAAGATAGGTGAAAAGTTCCACCAAAATGTGAAAGATAAAGAGCGATACTAGCAAGGTCTTTAAAATGAGAAAATAATGGCCGACTATTGTTGGTTGTTGAATAGAAATGATAACTTAAATAACCATAAACGAAAAAGTTTGAATCGATTAATAGAGTTGAAACGTGATCATTCCCATGACAAAAAGGCCTAAGTACACAGCTTACACCTTATTCTGCCACGAGAGTGAGTTTGCAAAAATCTACCTATCTAGGGGTTATCACGTTGTCGAGGTATAGGATCCGGCGTCCGCAGCTATTCTGGGGTAATGGGACTATTGTGTCGGTGACTCATAAGATTATTATGTTCTTGGGTTAATTTTTTTGGAGTTTGAAATTCATAGGTTATTGGATTATTTTGTCATGAATTTCATGTTGTCAGCCTAACATATTAGGTCTGATGATCGCAATCATATAATTATATTGACACAAATAGTTTTGCATAAGTATTCTGCCGAAACTATCCTTATAATTGTTCAGATTCAGCACAGATGAATTGTGAGTTCGGTTTATGTTTTATATTGTGATATGCAGTATTTGATAGCTTTTTGTTTATAGGTATATCGACACTAATTATATCCACCATTTTTAATTTTTAAATGTATGGCGGGAAATTTTGGGGGTCTTAACCGCTCTACCAAATCTCTTCCGCCACAAGGCCTGATTGACTCTTTACCCCCGGTTATTTAGGGCGCCAGACCGCCGTCTAACTAAGGCGATCGTCGGGGATAGGGCCTAAAGGTCGTCGCGTATCCCGGTTTGCTATCACGGCGACTGCGCAGGGTGAGCAAACGGATGGGTATTCGCGATCTTCTCTGCTCCAGGCCTCGGTGTCCTACAATTCGATTCCTCTTTTTCTCCTCGTTTATGGTATGCCGGCAGCTCAGATGATGACTCCTTATTTCAGGTCAGAAGTCCGTTCGAATTCGCGCGTATGTTACCTATAGAGGGAACCGAAAATATAACAAATCAGCGTACCCGATTATAACCGCTCGCGGCTGAAAATAATCAGCATGCAAATAAGGCAGGGTAACAAAAGTAAAAATTTATATAAAGAACAATTAATCACTTTTATTGACTTATTTCATTATTCATAAGCATGTGGTCGGATTAATCAGGGTCAGTATGATTCTGCATAACTTTGTGAAATAGCAAGGACACAAAATAGTAGAAATGCAAACATTCCCTCCCGGTCGGTCTTTGATTGACGAAAATGGCGGAACGGTCACCACGAATAGTTGGATAATTGATTTTACTCGTCTAAGCTTAACATTCGCAAATAATAATATCTTGGCGAAAGGTCAGCGCGAATAACTTAATCACTGATTTTAATTCATCTGATTCTAACACTCGCAATAGCTAATCTTGGCGAAAGTTCAACGCGAATAACTAAATCACGGATTTCCTTTGTCTGATCCTAACACTCGCAATAACTAATAATTTGCTGGAAGGTCAGCGTAAATAATTACATCTCGGATTTTAATTCGCATACTTCCAATATCCGCGACAAATTACTATTGGCGAAAGGTCAGCGCGAATTAGTAGGCACCGGTATCGACGGATCCACGCGTTGCGACAACCTACTACACCGAAAAATCGACTCCCGCACTCCGCAATTAATACTAATGAGTGGCACTTTACCTACTTACGATTTTTCCTGCTGAGATTCGGCAAACGAAATTAGCGTGAAAAAAACAAGGTGGTTAATGCAATTAATCCTGCACAACAAGAGTATCTGGCACAGGCACTCCTTCTAGCTCGAAGAACAACGGCAAAATGGACGAGAATCGGCTTTTCGCGGTTAAAGATCGCTTTTCTTCTCCTCTTTCCGAGAAGAAATATTATTATAGGTCGGTATGCTAATTCGAATATCGGTTGCGCCCTCCGCATATTTTATCATTGGTCCGTATGTAAATTAGAAGGATACAGCGCCCTCCTTGACTCTCCTACTTTCGTAGTTCTTTCCTCTCTCTCACCCCCCACCAAGTTAGCTAGCATTAATTGATGGGAAAGATCTACCCCTACTCTTATCTATTTTTCTCAAATAAATCAAATTTTATTCTAATTCGCTTATTGATCGTGACGTCACCAGCGAATTTCGTCGGAGGTTCGAATTCTGTCGGTTAATTTGTCGATCAAATTTAACGGGGTATTTGTCGCTCGCTATTATAATAGGGGGTGTGTCGGTCGCATGCGAATTTTTATAATTCAGTATTTCTTTCTAGCTCATTTTTAATTTTAATTTTAGTTCGTTGTGAATAAATATCTAACGTACGTCGTCTCAATTGTAGTGCCCCATCTTCGCATTTACATATAATTCTATTCATCATTTCATATAATCTGTCTCGCTCGCTCATGCTCAGTTCATCTCGGCGCTTCGAAATGGCAGCTCGGTCTCTCGCGTGTACACCTCGTGTTCCCATAACGTTCGTTGGAACGCCTCCTGTGACGCTCCCGTATTGGTCAAGTGACGTGTTTCCGGGTGTTTATGTGTGGTCACCGCTGTGAGTGTGTGTGGCGCTCAGGATGTCGCCGATGGTGTTCGGCAGCCCGACACAGCTGATTGCCGGCTGCGACTTCATCGGCGATTTTCTGCTTGCCCCAGGTGTTTTAGTGTTTCGTGAGTGTGTGCATGTGTCATAAACATGCATTTCCGTTGCATTTCCCAGTGAAGTTTCCATGTTTCTTTCGCCGGTCGGCAACACGTGGTCGTGAGTGTGTACGTGCGCTCTCTTAGTCCGTGGTGCGCTCCTTTTTTTTCTTTTAAGTGTCCGTCGGATCACGTTTATCGAGTTTGTTTCGCCAGTATCTCTGGTGTGGTTGTTCGGGCATGAAAAAGGGTAATCGTTTCTTATAGGGCGCGTTTGTTTTTATTTTGTGCAACTGGTTACGGGGCGGCAAGGGACGAGAATGGCTTTCCTGAGGTATTGCAAATAATGCAGTGCTCAGGAAAGGCCTTGTAATGTACCGCATTACAAATGTTACATATATAAACGGCCATTTAGACATATTACGTGAGAAAATAAACTTGACTTGTAGAATATCAATTGATAGTTTATTTTTGAACCTCGGAGATATTTATTCTCGTGTATTTCAGTATAATTTGAAACTAGAATTTTTTTTAAATTCGAAGCCCGATATCTCGGCTTTTCAAAATCCGTTTTAAAAAAGAGGGTAGTAATTTTTAAAGTAAAAGCATAAAATCGATAGCGTTAAACCGAATTTTTTGCATTTTTTGGTTAGGAATCTAGCAAACCTAGGGTTATGGAGCAAATCTAATTTCAGATGTGGATTCAACACATTAAATTTCTTCAGGCACACTAAATTACCGGATCTGGTGTGCCCGATATACCGACATGGGTGTGAAAATTTGTTGGCCTGTATTATTTTCGTAATTGTATTTTTAACTGTATTTCTTGTTCAATGTGGTATCCATTGCTAAATGATTTGTATCAATGTTTAGTTTGAAATTGGTACTTTTAAAGCCGCAATTGATTATTTTATTTCACTCCTGAAAAGAGACGATATCAATAATTTAACACAATATATTGTACACAGCTTCTATATTAAATCGAATAGTGTTCTTGCGTAAACACAATTCATAAATTGTTCACGTGATATCTGGAGACGAGTCTCCTTGATAGTTATTTTTTATGAGTTTATTTATGTATTTTAGTTATTATTTATGGTTATTATTTATTATTATTAATTATGTTATTTATATCACTCTACTGCTGTCAATTGGATGACTCATCCATTTAGTCCAACGGCATATATGTTATGTACCAATCCCGAAATTAAACAATTTTGGCTCTAAACAAGCGATTTTGAACTTAGTTCGATTCATGTGAGTTCTTTTCTACAAAGTTAAAATTGGCGGGCTTTGTTCAAAAATATGAATTTTATACAATGCTTTAGAACAAAACAATAATTGAGACTTGACTATTTATCGTATTACGTCATACAAAATTGCTTGTAAAAAGCTAGTGCCGTATAATTTTCTACACCAGCGAGAACATGAAAATGCCGACGCTAGTATTTAATAAATTACCTATATAATATAATATAAGCTTTAAATTATTTATGTATGTTACGTCAAAAACCTTTCTCCTGTGTGAGATGTTTCACGAATCGTATTATCTGGTCTTTTAAATATAGTAGTAGGCGATCTAAAGTACTTAACGTTTTATTCATTGCATATGCTAAGAAAACTTTTATAAAGATAATGAAATAGTTTTCACTATTACTTTGACTATTTTCATTCGAAGATACCAACAAACACATTTATATCATGGATCGAGTATCAAACAAACTATTAATATAATGAAAAAATTTCAGCTTGTGGCGACAAAATCATTGGAAGTCAAGGCGACGTAATAGCTAATACGCTGCAGCTCGTACTTCAAATACCATATTCATTATCAGAGGATAAACAATTTGATATAATGATGTTGGCTTTGATTTTTTTAATAAATTTGATAGAACATAGTGAAGATAATAGAAAACTACTCACATACACGAAGGTGCATCCCATTAATACTGGTAACTTCATTATATAATTTACAGTTTATTTCATATAGTTTAATAAAATTGCAATTAATAATTTACTTGAATAATTTTTTATAATAAAAAGGAAGTGTTGATGCATTGATTAGTCTCTTCTATGCACAAGAGGAATTAGCTTTAGCTGAAGAGCAAAAAACGGACGACATTTTAGATGGGAAGAAAGATGCAGGACAACCAGAAGTTACCTTGGTGACTTCGAAAACACAAGAAGAATTTATCGAAGAAACGATTAGTAAATGTAATAATTTTCTCTTATATTGATGATTATTTAAATCAAATTTACAAAGTAAGTAATTTAAGCATTATACTTTTAGTATTACAAAAAGCTGGCCGACATATGGAACACACCTTCATAGGAGCCTATGTGGTATTACTACTGGGTTATTTAATAATGGACAATAGAGTAAGTAGGATAGGCTTCGATCCTCATTTTGATATAAAAATTTTTTAATACAACGCATAAAATGCATCTGCCAACTGATATTTCCGTTGGATTCTAGCAAATTATATTATGTATATATTAGATAATAGGTAAGATAGATCTATCCCTCATTTTAAAATGAAAATTATAAGGCTCCACTGCAAAAGATAACCAAAATTATAACTTTTTGGGTGTCTAACAGCAATAGTCTGCCATCGTTTTTTCAATTAATTCAAAAGATATTTGCTAATTTTATCATTTTTTTTCAAAATTCATTACAATAACCTCCAAATAAATCTTGATTTAAATAATGACTTGTCCAATGCACAATTGGAACTTGTTTCAATGCACAATTTTGGTGTTTTTCTATATTTTAGAAATTATATGCGATAAACTAAAAGAAAATTTTAAATGATTGGTCATGCTCATAAAAATCGACATGATGATGCAACTATTTTCAAGGTCTTTAGTAATAGTCCAGTAGGGTTAGCAGAGAAACTTCGAGAACATGGATGTAAGAGCCAACTCCGAGATTATTGTTGGAATCGCTCAAGAATAATGTCAGAAACATTATCTGATACCCAGCGCCTTTTTTTTTGCGGAGCTTTTTGCACCAAAAATCGGAGAAGGTGAAAACACGCAAAAATGGGCTGTTTTTCATCACGTTTCTGCATATTACTCGTGAAATATCAAGTATTCGTTAAAACTTGTAATAAGCAAAGTTGTAGAGCGGGAAATTTCCTACAAAATGGTGTATTTCAAAGTTGAAAAATTCCATTACCGTCCGGCGCAGCGGCCGAATAAAAAAAAAAAAAAACACGAAAAACGGCCTATTTTTCGCAATCGAAAATCGAATTGACAATTTCGACGAACCTATAACATATTACACTTTCTGAAAACGTCTTTTTTCAACGATCAAATCCGTGAAAGAACGACATCGCTATCTTTTTTAGTTCTCGACTTATCGTATTAGTTAAGTAAATTTTCTTTCAAAAAGGCGATATTTTTAACGCAAAATAGAGATGACAAGCCGGCCGATGACATTGTCGCCAATTTTTGTCATCATTGTTAGAGCTTTCAACTACTTAATTCCGTAATTTAATGTATGATTTTTAATTATTAACCACCCCGTGCGACGTTTTCTTTGAAAAATTCGATTTTCGCCTTAATTGCAAAATGAATAGCGCCACAGTAGTTGACTCGAATGGAAAGCTTGAAAATTCCTCGAAAAGTGCTTGGAAAAAGGAAACTTTTGGCGCTTTAAACGTCCGATTCCGATCATTGTATTCAAAGTTATGGATTCTCAAAGTCAAGCACGTGTACGCGGTTACACAACAACAATTTCGCGATGAAAAAAATTCACTCGTTTTCCTGTGGGCTTGCACTTGCCATGAACATGAAGATTCAATACTCGACCCTGCTACATTTCTTTCAAATAAATCACAAAGGGGAAGCGACGCACGCAAAATTCGCTCGCCGACGGCCGAGGCGCGGTGGTGGGGGAACCTCGGCGCTCAGCCAGAAAAATGAGTCGGCGAGCTAAAAATCGTTGCGCGCTCTTAAATTGAACTTATCTCCGTTTGTTTTCATCCGATTTTGACGTTTTTTTTTTAATTTAGTATAGCGAATCGAGAGGAATCTAAATAACCCATTAATTTGTCCCTACGATACATTACTCACCGGCGGTGAGTGGGACTAGAATTTGTAACATTTTTGGTGCGATATAATAACATTGTTTATAAAAATAACGTACCGACACATGAACTTACTTTCAATATCTGAGTCGGTCAATTATTTTTGCTATTAGTTCATACACTCTTACGGTCCTTCGGTATTTAAATCATGACATGAAATACTGAAATCATAAAAAAAATAGTTTATAGTGTTACGGGGAACATGAATTATTAAAACATTTCATTTAGTCTTTTATTAACATAAAAAATACAAATGAACTATTAAAAATAAGTATCACTCATTCAAAACGCTTTATAAAAATAATCATTCATCCATCATTTTCGCTCGCTTTTGTTGCAGCTGTCCGCTATCGGAATCATTTTCACTCACACTCTCTCGCATTCCATTAAAACTATCATCATCGCTATCATCGCTATCATGACCGTCATCCTCGCCACTACTTTCGTCACCAGAATTATCGGGAATAGCTTCGTCATTATCATCTTGCAAGCTGGAAACAACGTTACAGTCATCGTAGTCTACCTCGTTTGTCTCGTTTGTCTCGTCAAAGTTGTCGTTGTCATTATCTATTAAATCTACAATGTCTGCGACTGTTTCAACATTATTACATGTCTGCCCGTGACACCCCCCACAGTACTCCGAGCACCTTAAACCGTGTTTAATACAACTACATCTTTTGCCGCATCCTTTCTTGCACTTACAACTAATGTCCCGAAGAAAATTTTTGGGAACAAATTCTGTCGGACCGTAGATAGGCTCTAGACGACTATTTTTCAGTGCCCAACCCCAATCTTCAGGATTTAGATCGTTACCCAACCAATACTGAACTTGTAAGTAAACGCGGTAAATGTGCTGGATGGCAGCTGATTCAGTGGGTGGTAGACGAGTTAATTGAAACGATTTATTGCTAGAATTTTTCTTGAAGAGTTTATACCGTAGCTCATTCAAATTTACATCTTTAATTTGTCTACTATACATTGAAGCAATTATTAATAGACCCGAGTTAACAAGATCGGTTTTATTGCAGTTTTTATCATTGAATATCAAAGATTTTTGGAATAGTTCATGCCTATCAGAAAGTAATTTAATAAGCTTATTTTTACCGTAATTAAAGAAGGCTGAGGTCGTATCGCACCCAGTCATGGCATGTATAAAACCCAATAAACATTTTAAATTTGGATATGCAAAACTTTCAGAGGTATACAACGCTTCTTCAACTTTGCCATTACTTTGCTTAAAATGATAAACTTTTTTATTACTATTGGCGAATAAAGATAAAATAATCAAAATATCTACATCCTCAGCTACTATCACAGCTGGGGTCGTATCTGTTGCCATTTCAATCGCGGTTTCAACGATGAGTCTATCAGCATCTTCATATGCTTGCTTTGTTATGTAACCGGCCTGCTCTAATTTAACGCGTAATTTTTCAATAAACCTTTTTTTATTATTTTCGTTTGCAAAGAAAGATTCCTGAGCGACATCAGCTATCATATTCAATTCGAAATTTATTGTTGTGCAGTATTTTATTTGTCTGCGCTGTCGCTCAATAACTTTCGTAGATTTCCCTTTGGACTCCGGATATCCATCGAAAACTACATAACTATTTTTAGAAAATTTTTTGAGAAATTCTACGTAGCGATTCATTACTTCGTCGTAAGTGACGTCCTTTGGTCATACAACCTTATGCATTAACAGTCCACCGTCAATCACGTTTATACAATTTTGAGGCATTTCATTGACTGGTAAGAATGATTCGTACAGTTTGCATTTATTTGTTTTACGAAATGAACCGTTTTCAAAGAGAGACAAGGGAAATGTGGACAACTCGAAATCAAAGTAGCTTCGTAAATCCGGGTTTTGATTCATTCCAACAATTATTCTTTGATAAATCAAATTGGAATTTATAATTACCTCTTTACCATCTATTTTTACAGCGGAAAGGCTTTCCAAAGAAACGACTCTATTCACTCGTTTAAATTTCAAGTTTCCGAATGTTCCACCCACGATGCTATTCATTAAGTCATAACCGATTTCCGCTGTATTGTGAACGTTCACTTTATCATTCCCCTCTTTGCCGGACGTTATGCACGTTATTTTATCTGAATTTGGAAAGGGATTATATGTAATAAAAAATGCTAACATTTTTTCGACATCTGCAGCATCGCGTTCGATTCTACTCGGTCGAGCATCTACGTGTTGCTCTGATGATGCAAAGTTTACATTATAAAAAGATTGGACTACTTCTGTTAGTGCAGCTGAAGATGGCATATTCAAAATGAACTTGGCCAGGACTGCGTCACTTACGCCCCTTCCGCGCGTTAATCCACCCCTAGTCTTCATGCAACGCATCAAGATCTGTTCGATCGCCATGTCACTCCAAATTCCGCAATAATATTTTTCCGAACGTCTAATTGTAAAATACCCCTTATCCACAAACTTTTCAAATTCGGCTGCATCCATTTTGTCTCTAAGTTGGTACATATCTTGTAAATAGATTTGGGAAGACTCAGCGTACTTAAAATGCCCTGTCGCGTGAAAAAAAGGCAGCATCTTACGGACAGTAGACAAATGTAGTTCCCAATTACCGGATCTCTCGGCTTCGATGAATTGTTTAACTAAGGTAACTGAATCATAATAAAGTCCCCAAAATTTAGCAGTAGGTCCCCTTTTTTTTCAAATTTTCCAGATGATTAACAAATTTATCATGAATTTTTATAAAATCTTCATTTTCAACCGTAGATAATATATCGTCAATATTATCAAGCATTTCTGTGATTAAATTATCTTCATTTTGCGTTAACTCTAAAGAAGAATGAATTATTCGACCCAGAGCCAAATGAGCAAGTGTGTGTCCTCTTACAGCTCGACTATAAGCATGACCATCTAAAATTTTGTCTACTGAGTTTTCGGCGTAAATTTTCGTAAACAGATCTCTGATACCGCTGCCTTTTGTAAAAAATTCAATAGATTTTAAATAAGAAAAAAGTAAATGCAGCCCGCCCAACCTCACGTGCACGTGTGAAAGCTCGCCTCTATCCCGACAAACTAGCAAAATTTGCTTAGATTTACGAAATTGTGGCTCGTCAAATGTAACAAAAATATCCTTTTGACCCAACAGAATACGTTTGTCTTCAGCTATTCGCAAGGCAGTGTATAGAGTTTCATTATTGCTTGGTGGATTGTTAATGAATGGGAGAAATCGAACTTTACTTTTCTCGTATGGTTGATGTTGGGTTATAGTCTCCATAAATCCATTCCACCCTTTGAAATCATTCGGATATTTA